AGAAACTGTGCGTAACATTTTTCTCCTGGGCGTGTGTAATAAATTGTGTAATAAAAAAATATATTTCACTTATAAGGCAAGAAGGTTTAGTCAGTTTTCTGATAATTTATGACACGGTCAAGTCAATTGAAAATTTTGAAAGTAAATTTATTATCATATGAGTATCTTTTAAAGCTATGTAGTTTAAAAATATGTATCTGTCGAACAGTTGCTAGAGCGATACTTTCATACAGGTCAGGATCTCGGCAAATCCAAGGATGTGTGTGCAGTTTTCATTTGTAACTTTAAGATTGTACAGTTTATAATATTTAAATAACTAAATGCTTAGGATAAAAGCAGCCCAGTAATAAAATATAACGAATACTGTCGGGCTCTTCCTCTTCCATGTATACACACATTATTGCCTAACAAGAATCGCTGTAGTGTAATAGTCAGACCACTCGCATCTCTCTACGGCGAACCAGTAGAGCCAAACACACATTTTATTTCACAAGTGGGAAACATTGCGGACTTTGCCCCTGGCCGTTAGATCCTCTCAGGGTAGTTCCGTTTCTTCCACCATCACCTTTCGTCGCTGCTCCATCTTCACCTCATTCAACCTCATCGACGCTAAAGACCTTAGCTGTTAAGCGATACCCAAATATTTCTCACGCGCGATGCACAAATTTTTCTCACGCGTAACTGTCTAAAAGAGAACAAATACACCGCAGTAACTGAAACTTTGGCTATTTCACACAACTTCCTACTTCTCGATGTCTGTCCGTCACTGCTAAAACATGGAATGGGCACTTCGCAGTGCCCAGAAAGAAGCTCACAGTTTAGTGTGGTGAGTTATCCGATGCCTGATGTGTAGAGCCCCGAGTATCTCGCGGATTGAGTTGGCAGCAAGCTAGGCTGGGCAGTCCTGTATACACTCTAGACATTATAGTTTGATTATTGGTTGCCATGATCAACTGGGGCCTCTGTACACAACTGTTAAACTCTCACTCACACTACTGCTTCCAGCTTATCACTGGCTCACAGTTAAACGGGGCGTGTCTGAAGAACTGTCATCCAATCATAACAGTAGGAGAAAAGAACAAGTGTTTGGAGTCTACCTCGTCTCCGAATGAATTCGCGAAATACTCTTGGCTCTACTGACGTGGCGTTGCTGTGACCAACGCCCTACACCGAGCACCGACATTTGTAGTGTAGTAGCTACCTGCGACCAGCACAGGCAGTGTCTTGGACGTCCGAAGTCCGACTCCTTTAGGTCAGACTGTTTTCTTGTCCACATTTTTTCCCCCGTGGATGACGTCGTGCTAAGTCCAGTTGAGTGCAGGCATCTGGACGATATCCACACGCAGTCAAGAGGATACGTCTGTGCCACAACCAGTCTGTGCGCACCGGCACGGAAATATGATATACCGTCCTTGTTTTTGCACCCTCATTTTCCGGTGTGTGATGGTACCCCGCTAGCGGCCAGCTACATTTATTTCTAAAGCAGGGCTTTTTATTTATTTTTGCCGTGCTGAATAAATTATGTTGCCTTCCACCACTATTTTATTATTACCAGTTTCCGAAACGTTGCACTTGTCTGTGTTGTGTTTGTTGTGTCGTTTGTGTGTATGTGTGTATGTAAGTAGATGGGAATAGTAGTTTATACAGGATGTATCCAAATTCGACCGATCGACAAACTTCGGCTGCAGGTTAATCATGAAAAAAGAAGTTGGAAACACATATACGAACTATGGTCTAAAATTAATTCTAAGGGAGATTACACATTTTTACAGTACCACTCTTTGGAATCTTCCCCTCCCTTTAATAACTGCAACAGTGTGTTATTGGGTAGTGTGCGTGTCCCACCTGCCAAGTATTAGTAAATATTATTTTGAAAATTAAAAAAGAAATTACTCGAAAACGATGAGACTTAAGGTATTTACACAAGGCGACATTTTTGTTAATTGTGACATAGGGAATAATAATCCATATTTTAAATCCCAAATAAGTTGCTGCGATAGGGAGGTTAGTTCTAAATAGGGGCAGAAACCGTGATTATTTACATGAAATAATATGATGACAGGAGAGATGTTGTGGTGTTTGAAGATACTTATTTGTTCAGTTATGATTATGCAGACAATCTGTGTTCTATATTAAATGTTATCTCCAATATTTTAAATAAACAAGTGTTTCAGGTCCAATTCAAAGATCTCTACTACCCTTAGTATTCACTTTAGACCACAGGTCGTACATTTGTTTTTCATTTATTTTTTCGTGATTACCCTACAGTCGAAGGTTGTCGGTTGAATTTAGATACATCCTATACATTCATACATACATACATGCACACGGTAGCGGAGATTGGGTGCCAAAATTAGGCAGTGTGGGTGGAAGGAAGGATTTTTTTCTGTGCCTATCTTCAGTTTCCTCACTAGCGACGCGGACAATCGAACGAGCAGTCGAAAACACTGTCACGTTCATAATTGCATAAACTAGCGATGCAAAAATTCCCGCGAATTTCATGTGAATGTACGAAAACTATGTCTCCGCTCAAAATCGCGAAACTACTGGAAATGCAGCATTAGAATAAAATATACCCTTTTTGTATTTATAGTGTAAATAAAAATAATGTCATAGACAAGTTCAAATTACATAATATATATAATTTGTAAATTTTTATAGTTTCTTTTGCCATTTACTTTTATAGGTTGGTAGTGGTAGGTAGGTAGGTAGGTAGATAGGTAGGTAGTTGGGCTTAACGTCTCGTTGACAGCGAGGTTATTAGAGATGGTGCAAGTTGCACAGGGAAGAGAGACTGGGAAGGAATAGGAAGGAATCAGCCATGGCCTTTGTTAGGGACCCATCCCAGCATTCGCATGGAGCGATTTCGGAAAACCATGGAAAACCGAAATCAGGTCATCCCGAATGCGGGTACAGTGAGTTACCACTGCGCCACCTCGCTCGGTAGGTTGGTATGTGTATTTGCGACATGATTACATTTTATGCCTTGAAATAACGCCTCAGTCCAAATGCATGGGATTTCCGCCTCTTATTTTATTCAGTTGCTCTCTCTAACTGAGGATACTGAGAATGTGATAATCTAAAAAATTGCCTTTTTTTTCAAACACTAAACAAAAACAATCAGTGCTAAATGCAAAAAGGGAGTTGCCCCAACTTCCCTCTTTGCGCCCTCCCTCCGGATCGCCGCTAATAGTATATCCAGTGTAAGTACACGTTCTTAAAAATCGTAACTGGATTTGTTTCAAAATAATTTAAACTCTTGAGATGAAACAACAAATTAAAATAATTAGTTATTAAAATGAAATCTGGAATTTGTGAAAACTGTTTCGGCAACATCGTTCCCTTTATGCGACAGGTCGCATAGCAGGCAGGTAAACCACAGCATCATATCTCATGTTTTAGACGTTTTGTCATTCTAAAAAACCGCTCGCCCATAAGGGTTCCACCAAGAAAACTATTTTTTCGTTAATTTAAAACTTTTATCTCATACAGGGTTTCAAAACGTTTACGATGACAAGGCATCTGTATTTTCGTATTGACGGTAGGGGGGGGGGGGGTGATATTACACACTTTTCATAAGGAGTCAACACAGAGTTAATACTTGGAGTACAGCAGAACATATATACATATGTGCGTGTGCGTGTGTGTGTGTGTATGTATTTCGTCTTCGTCAATAGGTTCGTCTGTATTATTGTCATGTCGTTCAGTTATTTGTATGTAGATGAGTAATCTATCCTCGCTATTCATTTGTTTTATTGCTCATTCTATTATTTTGGCCTCGTTTAACAATATCTGCAGTAGGGCATATAAGAATAAATTTGATTAAGAAATTTGATGTGTCACATTTTTTTGGGAGCAGTAAGTGCACTACGTGAGGTATTTAACATTTCCATGCACATTAAATATCCAGATGTTTTACTTCTATAATCGTATACTAGTAGAATATTATTTCCATTTCCGATTCCTCTGTGCGTGCGTGAACATTGATCGATCGATGATAAATGATTTATTACAATAACAGGAAGAAATACAAAATTTAATCAAAATCAAAATACAGGGACAACTATGCAGTTCAACATGCCAGCATACAATTATTACTCTTCTGCTGGACGTGGAAGTATCCGAAAAAAAAAAACACATAGAAACGGTGCTGAAACAAGCATGTATCAGTTTACTGGCCACTTGGAGAAAACATCCAAAACCGCATGCTTGAACATTGACTTTCCATACAGCCGGCCATCTCAGTGGTAACAGTTGCCACTGCGAAGTCTTGATCTTGAATTCGTCTTGAAACAGTGTGTGTGTGCTGTGTAATGTTGCAAGAAGGCAGGCAGCGCGAAGAGTCGCAGGCGGCAAGCGGCATCTGCCTCCGCGGATGGTTCGTTCCTTTTGTGGCGGCCGACCTTGAGGTTTTTCCACCCTGAGATCACTCCCTCGCTCCCTTGCAGGACTAGCACAGCAGAGCCGCGCCTCGCAGTGTTGGAGGGCGACAACAATGCTGCAGTCAGCGGCGCCGGCTGCTGCTCACGTGACTCCACGCGAGGGCAGGTCAACCACCCCGCTTCAACACTCCCCAGTATGCGTGCACGTGACACGAGTCTGCACGCACGTACGTGGCGGCGCTGCACTTGACACGTCGCATCTGAGACGACAAATTGAATGGTTGAGTTTAGTTGAGAGATTTGGGCGGCTCGTAACAGCGAGGTCTTGACAGCCGATGACGGTGAAACGAGGTAAGGAAGAAGCAGCGCCGGAATGCAAGGGCGGTGAAACGGGAGATCCCCGACAAAACCCGCCGACCAGAGGCATCGTCCGGCACAATTCCCACGAGCGCAAATCTGGGAGCTACACCCGCCGGGAATCGAACCAGTTCGCCTTTGTGGGAGGTGAGTAGTGTGGCCACTAAACCACCTCAGACCCTCAGAGAAGTAATGTAGTAAGGAACAATCCATGATTTTGCCTGCAGTAATTTCGGTAAACGATGAATAACTGAATTAGAAAAGCCGGACTGGGATTCGAACCCACATCTTCTCGATTGCGAGTCTAGTGGTTTACCACTCCGCAATCTTTCTTCGTTTACTACAAGTAGCGTGTATCTTAGTCTTTCCCGTATCCGTCCTGTCCTATCTTGACGTTACCGGGGCCACGGTGGCTGAGCGGTTAGACTGCTCGCCTCCCACTGTGTCGAAACGGCCTCAATCCCTGGCAGGTTTTCCTCCGGATTTTCGTAAGTGGGAATCGTGCCGGACGATGCCACTGGTCTGCGGGTTTTCTGGGGATCTCCCGTTTCCCTCGCCCTTTCATTCCAGCACTGTTCCATATGCACCTCACCCTCATCGGCTGTCAAGACCTCGATGTTAAGAGTCGCCCAGTTATCTTCATTCACTCACTCTTGATGTTACCAAGGAGTCCACACTAACGGTCTGCCGCTATTGAAATCACCGAAGATGTCCCATCGTGTAAATTTCTAAAAATGATTCCAGAGTGCAGTGAAATATCGTCCGAGATTAAAGTTGTACTCTTTAATAATTTTTTGTGTAACGTTTGGCCAATTATTTACTGAGGTTTTGAAAGGCAATTCTGATAATTTATGTTTAATTTTTACATACATGCCATTTAGTAATTACTCATTCGAATATCCTAGGAGGAGCTATATCAGTGAGATTCTTTATCCAGTGTCCTTTCTGTGCAGTGACTCCATCCATTTCTGAATCGTTTGAACTACACTTCTGAAATATGGCACACTAATTACTCTAAAAAATATATCGAACCACTCTGTACTAACTTGTCATAACTTTTTACTTTATATTTTGTCAGTTTTTCTAATTGTAATTCCTATGGCGTGTTCCTGAAATTTTCACCTAGTATATTCCAGGTGGAGTTAATGGTTACACTTTGTAATTTCCTGGAAGAATGCATATTCGCTGTTGTTATTCAGTCACCTTTTCCCAACCAAAAAATGCATTCTGCCCAACTGCCTATCATTTCCTGTCCACTGAAGTTACGGACGCTATATTTCTAATACGTCTATTAGTTACCTATTATACTAATTTCCTCAAAACATTTTGCGAAGTTTGATTTCTCAGCTGAATTATTCTACTTGTATGCCAGACGTGAGGTTTCAATTGTACAATCAGGAGACCCTTTGCAAAAGAGTAGGGAGGATGAGTTTCAGATTAGTGGCAATGCCTGACGTCACACTCGAAAAGTGTGTAAAAAATGTTTCGTACAGTAAATGTGCAGGATGAAACAATCATTAATTTTTTTTCCCCGCAAAAATTAGCGAGTCACTCTAGTTCTAAATTATAAAGACTGGATCTGTTTTCTATCCTCGACGTTGTTAAACGAAATATTTAATTTCTTAAAGTGACATATATATTTTAATGAAACTGTTAAGAATCTAATGGAGAGTATATCTTATCTTCACCGAAAACTATGTGAGTGTAGCTGTAGAGCGTCTCACTCTTAGATTGCAGTGTGCTGTGTAATGGGCATTCACTCTCTCTCTCTTTCCAATACATGGTTTCTGTCGTTAACTCTGTCATTGTCCCTGCTGCGTGCACTGTTGTCTGATGTGTTATCTTTATCCAACCTTTAAAAAATGCCATTTTCGTTGCGTGCGCGCCATGCAATCACAATGACAGGGTTTCCACAGGCTTCAGTTTCAAAGGAGCTACTTAGCTTTGCGTTGCAGGATTGGATTCCTTTACGAGTTGGCAGGGAGGTAAACAGATGAAAATTGTCTTAATCAGGCCGTTTCCTTCATCGCCCATTTGTTTCTCAGCTTGCAAGTTACGTCACAAAGCTGAAGTAATCTGGCAACAGTGAGCGCCATAAGCCCTGTACTGTAATCTAAGCGTGAGACGGACTATAGTTTCGATCGAAAGGCCTCAAAATGTTGTTTGTTTGGTTAGTAGCCTACTTCGATAACGGTGTTTTTTTTTGTTGAAATCAATTAGACGTTTCGAGTTTTTTCGAATAAAACTAAGGTATCTCTAATTCAACTGCTAATGAATGTAATAACTTGTTCTAAGTATACGCGTAGGAATGTCGGCAGAGGTATAAACCTGCCCCTTCTCACCTCACGGTCCGCGGGCGGAGGACACGCGAGAGATGATTGCGGAAGTTACGGCTGCATTGTAATTGGACGCAAGTAGCCTTCGGAAGGAATGCGGGCAGCTTGCCAGGACGACGCCGCCACAGTGATGTCACGTGCTTGCTTGCCACAAGGACATCTTCGGAAGCAGTAGCGCTCGCCCTCGCACAGTTAGGTCTTTCATGGAGCTCAGCTGTAGCGTGACTTGCTGACGGTCGCGTTGAAGAAAAATCAAATAAACAATTTGCGTCGCTGGAGATGCCGCGAGAAACTGAAAACAATCCTGGCATTCACAAGGCTTTGCTAGAGCACTTCTTTCGTTGGTGGAATGAACAGTAAATATCTCAATTACCCTACCCAATCTGGAATCCTCTCCCGCTTATATTTAAGATGCTCTCTTTATTTTGGATTAATTTTGTAACCACGAAACTAGCTACTAGAATTGAATTTATTTGTTTATTTATTGTAAGACAGTTACACATTCGATTAACAACTGCGTCAGTTGAAAGTTAGGTCCTTAGGTTAAACGATACTGGCAGCTACTATTGTACTTGAAGGCATGTAATCTTATTGCCATGCTCCAGTATACAGAACAGTTCAGTGACGAATAAAATAGCAGCTTTCTATTTTTTTTCTCGTATTAGAATTAAAAATAGAGAACATCGTTTCCATCCAGGCGTACAGTGTTCTATTATGATTTTGTGCCTCAAAAACAAACGATAGTCTCGAAAAAAGGTGATTTGTAAGGTCAACTAGACCTAATTGTCGTGCAAATACTAGTAATAAGAAATTGCAATGTCTCCATTTAGAACGTAAAAGTTAAATTTATGCTTTAAGCTTGCGACAAATTCTGAGAGAACTGTTTCACTAAAGAATAGTCCTGTATTTTTTCGCGTGCGCTTCGTAATGTGAAAAATCGGCAGGCGAAGATAGGCGCCATTTTCAGCATGCGTCACACGAAAAGTAGTAGACATCACGGCATCTCTTCATGCAGATAATGACGGAAGACAGAATTGGAAACGGTTTAATGCTCCAGGAAAGTGGTTCTGCTTTGCATAAAGTAGTAGCCCATACACTGCAGTGTAGTTTTATTTTCTGTTTAATTCTAACTTGCTTTATGAATGAGATGTACCCGTGTGTCTGTATATTTGCGTGTGTTTGTGTGTCTGCGTTTGTTTGTCCATTATAAACTTATGAGCCCGTGCACCGAATTTAACCAAACTCGGTACAAATATAACACTTTGTACGGACACTCGACTTTTATAGTTTTATATAATACTGTATACTTACTTTCAAAATGTCAGCGATTTAGAATTTTTGGTACTATATCATGTCTCGGGGAACCGTTCAGCCTATACGATCCAAAACTGGAGCGTTGTCAGTCTATACAGCCACTTTATAAACGTTAATTTCCTCGTTAGTTCCCTATTTTCAAAGCTTGTGCCATATAAATAAATAAAGATTTTACATAATATTTCGGGAAATACATACACGATTCGGACCAAATTTGTTAGATAAACTATCTAGTTTGAAACTTATAAAATATTTAAAGATTAGACGCTCATTTTCCAAATTTGCGCACTTATAAAATAAAGCTCTTTCATCGTATATCGGTAACTATAGCGATTCCCACCAAACTAACCTGCAAGTAGTGCTATGACATATCATCTTAGTCTGCATTATTTTAACACGTCAGTTACTTATTTCTAAAATCGTGGCCTTATACATACTTTGGGTAAACATACCACAATTGTAAAATAATTGCACCAGTTTCATACAAATCTGGTATTCTGGCAGTATATCTTATATACATTAAATAAGTTATACATATCCTCCGTTGTCCGTCATTTTGCAAGATAGCGCCATCCGAAAAAAATGTTTTGACATAGCTTGAGAACTGTTCTGTCAAATATGAAATATAAGTAGTGCTAAAGTAGCCATATAAGCTAGTATGACCTTTGTAGACCTATACCAGACACCTAAAATGGAGCTACTTATAAATATTTTGTGTCAATGTGCTCTTTATAGCGAAATATTAGAATTTATTAAACCAAACTTGGTTTTCTGGCAGTACTTATTGCGAGCATTAAATTATTATATTTGTAAATTTTGTTGCCTACCAATTTGAAAGTTAGTGCCACCTGGAAACTAAAGCTTATATATCGTTGACCATAATTCATGTGCCAAACTTGGGTGGTGATTTATTTTGAAACATAAGGCCTGGTATATATCGTGAGGTGAATGTTAAGGAAAGTATGCGGCATTGAAAATCATAGTATGAAATGCATGCTAGTAAAAATATCAAGAAATACTTGAGGTGGAACGACAAAAATCGGATTCATGTTTCATGAAACGACGTGACGATTGAAAATTTGTTGAAATGTGGTCGGTCAAACAGTCCCCTTCATTGCAAAAGTAGTAGTAAGCCTAATGGTGTAGGTAACGTCAGAACACTAGGCGGTAATGAAAAATTAGAGGCAAATTATTACTCACCATGGCAATATGAAGACTAAAAGTCTCTTGTCCGAACTCGCTCTGGTAAACCGTTTTCGAGAAAACACCACTCAAAATTTCGGAGGTGCGGGTATACGCCTGTGAAGACAGGCAACACTACTAGCACCCATGCCACACACGTGGCTGAGCAACAGGTGAGGATGTGATCGGTGCATGCGTGGAGGTGAGCTTGGCTACTGGCAAGTCAGTATGAGCCTGCAGCTGGCTGTGGAAGCATGGAATGTTTTAGGCGAGTGGAGCTAGCCAGCATGCACCTCGTGTACGGAGAAGCAACCCAAATGCAAGACAAGCGGTACGGCTGCGCTACCCAGAGCGTCATAAACCCTCCCTTGCGACATTTGCGCCGCTCCAACACAGATAAAGGTTCTTCACGATAAAGTGAGCACTTTTATAATGGACCTTCGAAAAATATCACTGCTCCTACGTGGCATATCTTTTAACGGGCTCACTAAATTACATGCT